TTAGCTATTCCTTGAGAGTGACTTTTTTCTTGCTTAGGCAGCTGAAACCAGAGGCAGAAGAGGCAGCAGGGAAATGTAGTTAACAGCTGTGGGGAATTGAAAGACATTTTTGACAATGGAAGAGCTCCATCATTGTCAGTCTTTCTCACCAAAGTCAGGCTGTTGGGGGACTTTTTTTCCCCCCTGCCTAAATTTGCAAGAGGCTGGTGGGAAAAGACTGATAAAAATGAAGTGTGACATTTACGACAGACAAGATTCCTCGTTCCACCTCTGCTACAGCCCACCCATTGGCTTCAAACATCAGAAACAGCTCTGTAGGGTTTTTTAATTATTATTATTCCTGTGTTAAAATAGGTGTTGTCAGTTCTCAAAAGCTTTTCTCCCTTTGAGAAAGAGATGTGTAGTTTTCTATCATACTCTCAGGTTGCCTGAGAATTCCCTTTTGGATTTCTCTAGGTGGTATTTTTGAACCTAGTTTATTGTGGGCAGCGGCATGGGAAGCTGCCGCTGATCCTGGTTTCCATTCCAGGTAGTCCTTAGACTTGCAACTTATAGGTAGCCCTTGACTTACTGTTCCTTTAGCGCACAGGTGTCAAACTCAATCATGTCACCTGACCTATCATGATGTATCGCAATGTTTTTTGCCTTTGTGGAGCTGGGGTGGGCATGGCCTGTGCGTGACACATCCAGCCCATGGGCCGTCAGTTTGACACCCTTGCTGTAGTGACTTTTTGAAGTTACATCACTGAAAAAAGTGACTTACAACTGGTACACTTACGGCTGTTGCAGCATCCTCGTGGTCACATGATCAAAATTCAAACTCTTGGCAATTGGCCTGGGTTTGCAACAGTCATCTAACTGCCATTTGCTTCCTTCACAGCTGGCTTCCAACAAGCAAAGTCAGCTTTGCTTAAGGACCATGTGAGTCATTTAACAACTGCGGTGATTCAATTGGGGGGGGGGAAAAACACTGTAAAATCGGACTCAACAACGATCTTGCTTAACAATGGAAATGGACATTTCCTATTGTGGTCCTAAGTCAAGGATTATCTGTATTTAACTTTCCATCCCCCCCCCAATGGTCACACTTCCTAAGCTGAAAAAGTCCAATGATGGGAGATCCCTCCTAATGTCTTAAAGAGAAGTATGTCAGGAGGGTCCGTGTTGCTGCAGAAAGTATTCCACAATGGAAGATGAGTCACAAACGCCTCTTAACTCTCTCATTAGGAGGACGAATACACACTCTGCCCATGAGAACTTTACAGAAATTCCATTTTCCTCTGAGCTAAATACATAAAGCAAATTCTTTTTTTCATCAAACGGAATGAAAAAAATATAGGGGGAAACACTGGGAACTCTGCATACAGGCAGTCCTTGCTAAACGAGACATTTGTTGAGTGAATTTTGCTCCATTTTACGACCTTCCTTGCCACAGTTGTTAAGTGAATCACTGCAGTGGTTAAATGAATAACCTGGTTGTTAAGTGAATCTGGTTTTCCAATTGGCTTTGCTTGTCAGAAGGTCGCAAAAAGTGATCACATGATCATGGGACACTGTAACCATCATAAATATGACGTCTGAATTTTGATCACGTGACTATGGGGATGCTGCAATGGTCATAAGTGTGAAAAATGGTCATAAGTCACTTTTTCAGTGCTGTTGTAACTTTGAACGGTCACTAAATGAATTGTTGTAAGTCGGGGACTACCAGTATTAGGTTTTTTTCAATGCCAGACCAATACCAAGGACCTTTTAGTATTCCTAGGTTTTAAAATATTAATCTTTTAATTTTTTTAAGACATCATCATTTCTTAATTTCTGATGTCTATTTTATTACAATATTTGTTCATTTTGACTGACTTAAGCCACTTAGGGATTGCTGATTGGCCAAAAAAGCTGAAATATAGATATAAGACATAAAATCGTATGAATTATATTGCAAAATGCTTTTAAACACACATAGACTGGTGTAGTGGCTGAATTTAGATATAATAAAGGTGTATATATATGTGTGTGTGTGTGTCTCTTGGCATACATTTTAAGTCACGGTTGTTTAATTAGAATTTGTTGAATCAAACATAGCCAGTCATTTTACTATTAAACCAAAATTAAATAGATCATGTTATAGATTAACAGAGTGGTTCTCAACCTTTAAATACATTTTGTGGCCATGGACTTACGGTCATGGATCCCCAAGTCTTGAAAAATTGAGTCAAAGAAAATAAATAAAATAAATTGAGTCAAAGAAAGAGACAAATACTTGATTGATTTGCATTATTTAAATGCAAAAAGGTGTGTTGCTAGTTCTAAAAGACTTGGGAAAATACACAAAGGTCAAAGAAAGCTTGTTAGAGTTAGCTAGCCAGTCTTTGATCAAGTCCATAGCATCACCCTTTTGATTTAATTAAGGTTGAAAAAGTGTCAAGATGCTCCATAGTTTTGGGGACAATGGCCATTATGTTCCAATGAATCAACCCTCGCTTTACATCCCTCTCATCTTTCCGAAAGCTACAAAATCTCTTGATTTACACAGACCTCCAGTCCCTTGGCTGTGAAATGCATTCAGTCTGGAGCAGTGGATGTAATACGATTTGGTAAAATCCTGTTTAGAATTTCCACAGCGATTCATTAACTGGGCCCACCCCATCAACAATAAAGATAACAAGCTATTTTCACCATGAATTTCTGAGGAGTTTTAACTCTGAGAACCTCCTTTTATCCTTCCTTTACTTCTGCTGTTGCTGTTTTATTTATAGGCTGTGGCTTTCATTTACTCTGATGTTTTCAGCTCATTTCCCCTGAGTAAGAATCTTGTTTCATTGACATTGACCAAGATACATTTTCCTAGTGTGATGATTTCACAGAAACAGAACAGAGTAGCAAACAACAGAGTTGGAAGGAATATTGGAGGACTTCTACTCCAACCTCCTGCTCAAGCAGGGGATCCTATACATACCCTATATACCAGTGATGGTGAACCTTTTAGAGACCGAGTGCCCAAATTGCAACCCAAACCCCACTTATTTATCGCCGGGTGCCAGGTAGGCATGGCCCACTGGGTGGGCATGGCTGTGGTGGCCATGGCAGACTGGGTGGGTGTGGCCAAGGTGGGCATGGTCACCTTGATGTTGCTCCTGGGGAAGATGCCTGTGGGGGGCAGGCAGGGTTGGGGAGATCCAGGGGGTCTCTGGCAGGTGGGGCGGGGGGCAGGAAGCTTGTCCTGCAGGGTGAGGCGAGGCAAGGCGAGGCAGGGCGGGGGTGCCATTGCCGCAGGGCAAGACAAGGCAGGGGCCTGGGCGGCTACTCCCTGACACCATCAGTCCCTGTACACAGAGGCCAGCGAGCGCATGGGGGCAACAGTGTCCGTCAGCAGCCACAGCCTGCCGGCCCCTCAACCGGCACATTCTGGGGCTCCGCAGCCCGCTGCTAGCAGTTCAGAGAAGCTGCCTCTGAGCTGAACGGCTGGACGACAGCTGAGGAGGCAATGCAGTGGGTCGTGCCCAGGAAAAGGAGAGCATGTGAGACCAGGAGGGATGGCCATGTGGGACCTCAGTGAGTTAGCAGGTGGTTGGTTGAAAAGGGATGGTTGCTATCTGTGGGGCATGGCACGCGTGCCCACAGAGAGGGCTCTGAGTGCCGTCTCTGGCACGCGTGCCATTGGTTCACCATCACTGGTATATGCTGAGTAGCTGCTAGCAGTTTGAGTATCACTGGCTCAAGGTTGACTCAGCCTTCCATCCTTCCCAGGTCGATAAAATGAGGACCCAGATTATTGGGGACATTATGCTGACTCTGTAAAATGCTTAGAGAGCGCTGTTAAGCACTGTGAAGCGATATATAAGCCTAAGTGCTATTACTATTACTATACTGGACAACTGGTTGTCCAATCTCTTCTTAAAACCTCTAGCGATAGAACAACCACAACTTCTGAAGGCAAGCCATTCCACTGATTAATTAATTGTTCTATCTGGAAATTTATCCTTATTTCTAAATGGGTTCTCTCCTTGAGTAGTTTCCATCCATTGCTCATTGTTTTGCTTCAGGTGCTTTGGAGAATAGGTTGACCCCCTCTTCTTTGTGGCAGTCCCTGAGATATTGGACGATTGCTATCATGTCACCTCATTTCTAGTAGAACACTGAGTTGTGTATTTTTATGAACACAACCCAGCTTGTTAATTATCCAACTGGGAGGGCATTATATGTATTTGTTTGTTAGAGTCTCATTCTCCCAGTCCCTAGGGCTTCAAGGTGATATACTTAGTACTCCCTTCTCCAATTTTATCTCCTAACAATAATCTAGTGTTTGGGTGGATTTTGCTGAGCTGTACTTCCTGGCTCAAGTCATCCAGCTACATGGTTAACTTTTGTCGAATTTGGGATACTTTGTGAATGCACTAGCATTGCTGGATGGGTATTTTGGAAAGTTACAGCTCTGACATTAAAGATTATTAGGTTCAGAAAGACCTTTTTTTAGAGCAATTAATTTGAAAATGATGAGAACAACTATAGCAGACTTTCCCTTTTATGATTTGATTATCTAAGCATGTCTACTCCAAAATAAATTATAGTATGTTTCCGTGGAGCTTTCTCCAAATACATATCTGTAAGATTTCACCCCAAATTGATACAAATATTATTATTTTAGTACTTTTAAAATAAGTGCAGGTTGTCCTTAAGTTACAACCACAATTGGAACTTCATTGCTAAGGGAGGTGCTTGTTAAAAAGTGAATTGTGTCTTATTTTATAACCCCCTCTTTTTTTTTTACAGTTTCCAAGGTTAGATACTTAACCCCAGTCTAACAGGCTGGAGATTCATACTTCCACCTTGGATACAACCTCCTTTTTTTTTTTTTTTTAAATCCTCCAATATATTTACAACAGCCTCTCCAAGATCCTGTGAAGGTGGCCAGCTCTCCTCGAAATGTCATGATCTACTCTGAGTTGGCTTCTCTTGGTCCTTCAACTCTTTTGCTTTTCTCCTGTGCTTTTTCTTAACAGATGACAGCCACAGCCCAGCAACCAGCAAAAGCACAGCCGGTGCACGTCAGCACACCCTCGGCGGCAGCCAATGCTCCACTACCCAGCACTCCTATCGACCCTCAGGCACAGCTGGAGGCTGACAAGAGAGCTGTCTACAGGTACAGAGGATAATGCCAACCGTCTGCTCTTTAATGTTGCTTTCCATCCCTGCGGTGACAGGGCGGAGCCATTAGCCGTATTTGTCCTAAGGCTAACTTGGTCAGTAGGTGCTACACAGAGGCTGTTTCATAGCTGTTTGGAGTGACAAGAAGGAAGAAAGCTTTGAGTGCATGATAAAACAGAGATATCACATAAAAGGGCTCGGATTTCTTTCTTGGAAGAGGAATTCTAGATTACAGTAGCAGCAGTTAATGTTCTGAGAATTAATTTTGGGCCACAAATGGTTACACAAACCCATGACTGTAGGTTGCACATAGATGCTCTAATTCACTTCAACTCTTGTGATAAGTTTAGATTGGGGATGTACCCCAAACTCTGCTTCATTTACCACGGTTGAGCACTCAGGGACACAGGCGAAGAGAGGCGCAGATTGAACCATTTTAAATTTCTTCTGTTTCTCCTTTTATCCCCAACTTTGGATCAGTCTGTATCACTTTTCCACGTTTGTTTTTCATTTTTGAAAACATCTACTTGGCAATGTGTATGCGTGTTTATGTATGTTTCCATAAAGCCTGTTAATTTTTTTTACCCACGTTTGTCAGCGTGCCTTTTTCCAAGCTATTTGCTTGAATATCCGTCTTCTGGACCGTCTCTCATATGCACAATTTGTTTGCATTCTTTTTTTTTAATATACCCATTTTTGGACGAACCTTTTAAGCGAATTTGAACTCTGCGTTTCTGCCTAGAGAAGTGAAGGTTTGGGACAGGCAGTGCATTGAAATTAATATATGTACATTGAACATTTGCGGCAAATGAGTAAATTTCTCAGAAGTTCTGAATTGGGATCCATTGGCGGGGAGAGCTAAACGACCAAGAGCTTTTAGAATTCCTGAGCATGTCAGCATTCTGGATGGAAATTTACAGGGCCATTGTCAAATCCAGTTGAAAATTGCTCTCTAAATGAGGTTTACGAGTGAGGCAGCCTGGATAACAGAATCATTTGTGATGTTTCAATTTCACACTTTAATACCATGTGTTCTCAGATTTATGTTTTGTGTATTGAAGGAAACTGAAAGAAAAGGAAGCCCAGACATTTAGGCAGGATAGCAATGGCAAGGAAAGAGCTTGGAAGATGAGTGTTCAAAAATGAAATCTTCATATATCATACGGAGAGCTTAAAGGGGGTGGGTGTTAATTAAAATTTCTTGCTTCTGGGTAGCATGACAGTTCAAAAACACATTGGGGATTTTTCATTTCATGTCAATAAATTTAACAAGGCCCCATTCAGTTCGAATTAATGCTTAAGTTGCTTTTATGCTCTCTTCTTGGGGGGGTGGGGGAGAGACAGTGTGTGTGTGTGTGTGTGTGTGTGTGTGTGTGTGTGTGTAGAGATATATCACATATAATTTGTTCTCCTGTTTCTGCATGCCTCTGAAGCAAACCCCAGAGTTAGCATTCTGACCTAACCATGATTTGGTTGATGTAGGATAGTCTACTGACTGAACAAGCTTGAAGTTCTGGTAATTGATGCTAATAGGGAGACTCCCTTTCTGCGGAAATTTGTTTCTGAAAAACTGGATCACTCAGACTGGTTTTCACAAACATTACAGATGCTCTGACTCTGAAATGGATTATCAGATTACTTATTTTTGTCATCTCTTCCTAGTACGTCCTCATAGGTTGCCATGATATAAAAAAGATGTTGAGAGTCTAGAAAGAGTCCAGAGAAGAACAACGAACATGATTAGGGAACCGGAGGCTAAAACCTATGAAGAACAGTTGCAGAAATTGGGCATTGTATAAAGTACCGCTTTATAAAACCCTAGTAAGACTACACCTGGAATACTGCAGCCAATTTTGGACACCGTATCACAAAAAAAGATATTGGGAGTTGGAAAAAATTCAGAGAAGAGCAACTAAGATGATTAAATGCCTGGGGACTAAAACATACAAAGAACAGCTGTGGGACTTGGGTTTGGCTAGTCTAAAGAAAAGAAGAAATAGGGGAGACATGATAGCAGTATTCCAGTATTTGAGGGGCTGCCACAAAGAAGAAAGGGTCGCATTATTCCCCAAAGCACCAGAGAGCAGGACAAGAAATGATGGTTGGAAACTGATCAGAAAGAGAAGCAACCTGGAATTAAAGAGAAACTTCCTGACAGTGAGGACAATTAACCAGTGGAATAGCTTGCCTCCAGAAATCGTGGACACTCCGTCACTGGAGATTTTTAAGAAGAGGCTAGACAGTCACTTGTCTGAGATGGTATAGATTCTCCTGCTTAACCAGGAGGCTGGACTAGAAGACCTCCAAGGTCCCTTCCAGTTCTATTCTATTCTATTCTATTCTATTCTATTCTATTCTATTCTATTCTATTCTATTCTATGTCTAGTTTAATGAAGAGAAGGATTAGGAGTGATGGGATCTCAGCCTTCCAATATCTCTAGGGCTGCCCCAAAAAAGAGGGAATCAAGCTATTCTCCAAAGCACCTGAGGGCAGGACAAGAAGCAACAGATGGAAACTAATCAAGGAGAGAAGCAACCTAGAACTAAGGAGAAATTTCTTGACAATTAGAACAATTAATCAGCAGCCATTTGAATCTGGGTCATAAGTCTCTTTTGGGGGGTCTGTCGTAAGGTCAGTCATAAGCGGTCATACATCGAGGATTGTCTATCCTGGGGAAAAAAAAACAGAATCCAGAGAGCAGAGCTATTGTTAGAAGTCTAACACATTTCATTAAAAACCATTGAATTTAAGAACAACAGCAACAGCTAATGTGAATTATGGTAAATTAACTAACAAGTGAGAGATGACGGTGTAGATCAGGGTGGGCTTGTAATATTTAAGAAATTATCACCAGGGAATTTCTCCCCTTCTCTAACCTTGAGGATGTGAAGTTCAAGTCCATGAGGAGGAGGAGCAGAACTTAGTAACAGCTCAACCTTTGGACACCTCTTTTGTTCAAGCTACTTAACAGAATTGGCCTTTGATCATTTCCCATCTTCTTCCACTTTTCCCATTTGAAATACATTAGTTGCTATGGAAATGAGGAGGGGAGGGCTCCATCCATTCCTGAAACACAAAACAAAGAGAGTTTAAATGGTGCTTTGGATTACTTAAGGCCATTGCGGGTACTTGTATGTAATTTGTGCCCTCTTCAAGATGCCTTCCCTAGATGCATTTATGTGTAAGACCTCCCAAAGTGGCTTAGGGTAGGGAGAGAGGCACTTGATGAGGGGAGCCCAAGACAGACCTGAATCCTTACAGGCCAACACTCTTGTCATATTACACTCCTTAAATCTCAGGAGGCCAAGTCTGTCTTCCTAGCATTTGTTGGCATAAGTGACAGAAGCAACTGAGCTATAACAAGCAGCTGCCAATGGCAACCGAGATGGAGAAAAGATAGAACCGAAAGAAGAGTCATTCCTAAACCAGCTGAGCATCTGGACAGATTAACAATGTTTTAAGGCAAAATCTGACCCAGAAGATAGTCCAAACCAGGAAACCAAAATTATGAGTACTGATCTATTATTATAAGATGACAGTAAGCAAATCTTGCAAGTCTGAATGTACTGCTCCCTTGCCTGCCTTTTATGTTCCAGATAACTAAGGAGAGTCAACTCTGATTGACTCTCAAATTACATACCTGCTTTGAACTCAGATTTCATTTATCAGGCAGATCTTCCTCCCAATCGTATTCTCCCAGCCCATTACACTTGTCCCTTCTAGCTGAAGAGAGGCAATGCACAACTCAGAGAGATGTTGGTCCATATGAATATACAATATCAGGTTGAGGGGGCCTTGGTGCTCTCTGAGCTTGGTTGTTTTCTTACAGACATAAGCAAGAAAACAACCAAGCTCAGAGAGCACCAAGGACCCCTCAACCTGATATTGTTTATTCATGGTGACCAACATCTCTCTGAGTTGTGCATTGCATCTCTTCAAGTGGAAGGGTTAGGACCCCTCATTTCAACTCTGAGCTATAAATATTCTCCTTTATTAATATCAGGTTGGTAGAACAATGTGGTTTCCTCTAATCTCCACATCTCCAGAACAACCAGTATATCCTTAGGGAAAAATCATCTTCTTACAAATAGCACATGTAGTGGTGATGATGGAAAATACGTTAAGCTTTGTGGAACTACAAGCATAATTCCTTTTGAGGATACATGAGATCACCATGTACGTGACAGCAATTACACACCCACACAATTCACCCCTGGAGAGGGACCTGACATGAGCAGGACTCTTTAAGTGATATTTTATGGCAATCATGCCTTTAGTGAAAATGCAAATCAGCTCTAACTTTAAAGAAGGGTTGGGAGTAACACGTTCATTTTCATTATTATTTCTCTTGTTTTGAGCAGTTTAATTTATTTCACCTTAAAGGACAGCAGAGTTTGCTTTAGTTATAGTTTTACTGTGTTCTGTATATGATGCTGGCTGCAGTAACTCACGTACAGGCACTGACTGCAACATTTAGCAGAATCTCCATTTATATCGGGAAGCTTAGCTCTTTTACAGTGCACTCCATAAGCATTCAGAGAAATGCACTTTGGGATGGATTTATGGTTAGTGCTGAAATCTATAATGTACTCAGTTGCTTTGGGATCATTTTCTATTTTACTTTTCCTTAATCTCTAGTAAAAGAATCTCTCTCTCTCTCTCTCTCTCTCTCTCTCTCTCTCTCTCTCTCTCTCTCTCTCTCTCTCTCTCTCTCTCTCTCTCTCTCTCTCTCTCTCTTTCTCCTTTCTCTTAATAGAAGAAAAATGTTTCCATCAGGAATCTTTGGCTTAAATCTGTTGGTTGCTAAAGAATTGTGTGGAACATTCTCAGATTCTAAAAGAAAGGCAAAGAAATTCATTCAGTTTGGAAGATGCTGAGTTAGATCTAAAAGATTTCTTTTCTTTTTTTTAACCTTGCAGAACCTTAGAGAAAATACCTCTCAGTGTTGCTTAAACCTTGAATTGGAGTGGGATATGTGGAACTGAAAATCAAAG